GTGGGACATCGCGGTCACCCCCTGTCCCCTCCCGTGTCCCCTCCGTGGGACATCGCGGTCACCCCCTGTCCCCTCCCGTGTCCCCGCAGCCGCATCGCCTGTTACGTCACCGTTTTCCAGAACATCTCCAACCTCCGCGACGTCTTCTACAAGGAGATGAGCAAGGTGGGGAGGGGGAGCACCCCAAAACACCTCCCTGGCAGCACCAGGTGTCCCCAAATGTCCCCAAATGTCCCCAGGTGTCTGCACCAGTGCTGCGCCCCGCCCCCCTGCAGTCCTCGCTCTTTAATTCATTCATTCAGAGAAACCCGGGGGTGTCCGGGGTGTCCCCAGTKTTGGGGACCCTGCTGAGCCCCCGGGTGATTTGGGGACACTCGGGGGACCCCCTGAGGTGTCTGTGTGCCCCCTCTCCCCAGCTGAACCGGGACCTGTACGAGCTGATGAGCAAAYTGGAGAAGCAGCACTCGAGCAAGGTGTTCATCATCAAAGGTGTCCCCAGGTAACAGCCGGGTGACATCTGAGGGGACAGTGGGGGTCAAGGGGACAAACCGCCACCCGAGCCCCACAAAAGTGACCGAGTGTCCGTTCCCAAATTCCCGGGGCGGGCGGGTGTCTCTCAAAGGTGGGGAAAGGCGCTTTTTGGTGGCCCTGGGGAATGAATCCGTGTCCCCGCGAGCTGGGACGGTGACACGCCAAGGCTGCTTGGGGACATCCCGAGCTGACCCCTCTCTGTCCATCCCCCAGCAACCGCCGCTCGCTGGTCATCTCCTCGCCCGTGAGCCCCCCGGCCATGTTCCCCTGCCCGTTCAAGGCGCCCGCGGGGGACGCGGAGGTGACACCGGGGTCCCCCGGCGCGGGCAGCGCTGCCACCGACGCCACCGCCAACGGGGACCTGGGGGCAGTTTCSCCGGGTCCCCCGCCGGCTTCTCCCGCCAGCGGGGGGTCCCTGGACACGGCGTCGGTGTCCAGCGAGGAGACCCCGGAGCCCGGCCCCGGCCGCGACAATCCGTGCCCGGAGCAGGTGACATCGGTGACAGAGTCGGTGTCCAGCGAGGAGACCGCTGAGCCCATCTCCGACCCCCTCGCTCTGTCCCTTGCTCAGGGGACACCGGCGACAGCCGCGGAGCCGGGGGCAGAGCCCTCCAGCCGGGGTCCGGAGCCGGGGGGTGACAGCGGAGCTCGKGGGGACACCGAGAGCATCGCCACCTCCCTGGCGTCACTGATTTTATCCGAGGCCATCGCCCAGGCCACCGGCACCGTGTCACCCGAGGCGGGGAAAGCCGCGGACACGGCGGGGGACAGCGCGGCCACCAGCGCTGAGGGTCGGGCGAGTCCCGCGGTGTCACCGTCCCCAAGCGCGGCTGTCACCGGAGATGTCCTCGGTCCCGAGGCGCTGGAACCGGCGTGTCCCCGGGAGCCGTGCCAGCTCGGCGGGGACAGGGGACAGCGCGGTGACACCGAGGACAGCGCGGATGTCGAGGAAAAGGTGCGGAAAGCTCTGAACACACCGGGGGTGGCAGCGGGGGACACACACAGCGGGCCACCAGGGCGGGGTGGGGACACGGGGACACGGGGACAGTGGGACACTCTGTGCTCAGGTGGGGCCGGACCTGTCCCCTCCCCGCGGGCTCGGTCCCCTCCGGTTCCCCAACCCAGGCGGGTGAAACGGGGGGCTCGGGGGTCTCTTTCGGGTGGGATTTAACGGAACCACGAGGTGCCGGTGTCACGCCCGTGCCTCTCCCAGGGCCGTTCCGGGACACCGGAGCAGGACACGAGCCAGGACAGGAGCCGGGACCCCCCCGAGGATCCCCCCGAGTGCCTCAGCACGCTGTGACCCCGCGGGAAATGCGGCGTCTTCCCCAAATTCCTTCCCCAGAATGCGCTTCCCAACCCCCCCAGCCCGTCCGAAATAAAGGTGGAAAAGGCGGGAAAACCCCAAATCTCCATTTGGGATCGCGGAGGGGTCCGGGGGGATCCCCACAGGAGGGTTTGGGGTGGATGAGGAATGAAAGGGGGGTTCACTCTGTCCCCTCTCCCCAACACCCGTGATTCAGGGAAAAGGCGCCGAGCTCCCGGAAAACGCCAAAAACCCCTCAAAACACCCCAAT